AACGAAATAACGCAAGGAAAACAAAGTCATATTGGACTCATCCCGAAATAGAGTTCATGCAAAGAGAAAGGACAACAAGGATTAGGAAAACGAATTTATTCATTAGATGAACAATTAAACAGTAGGCATTACTAACTAAACAATCACTTTGACTAAAGAAGCACATAAGATAGTTAAAGGGAACACAAATCACGGCAAACCAAAGTTGTCATAACTAATGGATTATAAAGAAACTGGGCAGCTAACAAATTATAGATTATATGACAAAGAGCTACATTTAGGTCAATCATAGGAGACCAATCTCTTAGGATGGGAGCACTAGTTTAGAACAAATCAAAACAAACTAAACACCCAAATTATCATGGTAAACAAAGCACTTGTACAACTCTAAAATTTTAGTAAAAGAAAAGAACACATACCACCATCAAACCAAGGAACTTGATTATTACAATAACATTATCATGATTTCTTAACCATTTATGTAAAACAGGGAAAGTGGGTAAAGATTTGAACAAAAAATAGACCATAGACGTAATTTTCCAGTAAACAAATTAAATGCAGGTTTAGCTATTAACTCTAGGATTGTTGTTATAAATAAATGAAATACAAAAATAAAACGGATACACCATTGTGAGAACTATTATTGTAATCTATCATCCTAGTCTTTCAAAGAGAAAAAATGATTTGTAGAACAAGAAAAAACACAATTATCTTAACAAAGTCAATTTTTATTTGGAAAGTTACTGACTTAATGAAACCCAAAATAGTCGAACACCACATGACACTTAACCGTTGTACTCAAGCCACGATAAATATATTACACAAGCGCCCAATCGATTTTACGTAAAAGCAAACTATATTCGACAAGGTTAAATTTCAGCAAAGCCATGACCGATACACAAAAATATGAATTAAGAGGGGTTAGAACTAAACAAGTACTAAATCGAGGCTTAATCATATACCAAATGAAATTTAAACCTCCATGAATCTTTATGAACGAACCACCACATATTCATATCTAAACCAAGTCACTCTTAAAAACAAACAGTAAACGACCTGAAACCTAGAAGGGATCGAAATAACTAACTACGAGCAATCAAATTTAAGAAGAAACACGTAAAAGCTAACAAATGCATTGAATTCGAATGACATGTGAAGGAACTTGCTCATACAGTATTAGCCAAAAGAAACTGAATTGAAGCAGTAGTTAATATGAAACCAAACGACAAATAAACATTCTTTGATCAAGCATAAAAGAGAAGAGGAGATTTGATCAATAGCTACACCTATTAAACAACCAAGATATTTGTTCAACAAGACCTAGATTTGATGGCAAAGACATATCAACATAAGAAAATAGCAAAAATCCATAAGAAAGCATCAAACAATTGAAACAAATTTTATCACATAATAGAGATTGAAACAAACAGAATATCAAATGTAATGGATATTACCTTTGTTGAGGCAGCGAGACTAGGACAAACGAGCTGAGAGCAGCGACTCTTCTACCACGAAATCTCAATGTGAACAGCAAGCCAAGAGAATCGGGACTTAGAATCGAAGGATTAAATGCGAAATTCTAAAGTGTAAAGTGCTTATTTGCTGAAAACTCAAACTTCGAAAAAAAAAGAACTCCCTCACAGTGATTAAAATAGATGGATATATAGATGGAAATTAGGGGGGAAATCGCGTGAAAAATTGAATTCCAAATTTGAATTCACTCTGCCCCTTTTCAAGACAACAGTAGAAAGCTTTGAAAAAATTCCTTAAAATGGGGGAAAGGGGACGTGAGGGTGATGGGTATGCAGGGTATGGGTTCTGGCAAGGTAGGAGACGCAATTTCCGGGTTGATTTAGCGTGAAGAAGACGAAGGCAAGTATGGGGTGGGGTCGCTGTTCGAGTTTCTGGGTTTCTGCGTTTGCGCGTGAAGAAGAAGAACAAAGCAAAGTGGGGTAGGTATTTCTGTACGTATTGTATGGATTGTTGTTGTTATTGTAATGGATTGTGGGCTTGGGTTTAGTTTGGTATTGCTGATGTATTGGGCTGGAAATTATTTGTTGTACAGGAAATTGGGATTGGGAATTGAGAAATGGGCTGATGGGTTTTAAAAGTGAGCATGATTGAAAATTGTGTTTGGAATTGTTTAGTGGGCCAAAATTTGAGTTTGGAAATTGGATGGAAATGGGTTTTGAAAAGTAATTCAAGAATGTGGTCTTAAGAATATAACCACGTAAATTGCAATTTCGATCAAGTTGAGGCAATTAGTTGAATTCGGCCAAAATTAAAATAAGATGAATTAATATAATTAGTTAACAAGCTTCTTAATTTTAACAAAACAAATTAATAAACTTGATTATAAACTAACTAGTTAAAAAATAAAATAAAATAAATATTACCTAAACCAAACTAATTGGCACGACATTTAAGTAAAACTAATTTACTTATTTTTGAGACGATTTTTGAATATTCATGAAATATAATAATTATATACATAATTATGTAAAACATATATATTATTTAAAAATTATAAAAAGTGACGAAACTATTTGAAATAACTTGCAAACTATAATTATTTTATTTATTTATTTTTTGAAGTTTTTATAAAACTAATTATTTTATTTGTTTGAAATTGAAGAAGCTTGATGATTAATTTATATTGTGGAGGTCCAAAATTGGATGTCAACAATGTTCCCAAGTTTATGCATGGAAATCACTCATAATAATTGTTTTTGGAAACAAATTTACAAAATATACATTGCAAGTTGCACAAATTAAATATGCATTATTTGACAGTTGACTTGGATTATATATCTCAAAACTTAGCTTTGACAAGTTAAATTTTTTGTTGCAGTAATGAAACAAAAGAAATCATGGTTCTCAATAATCTTTATCAGTTTTTGCACCAACTTGGAAAAGAAACTTATCAAGACCTAGGCATAGATATCCATCACCAACTACACAATGTTGTGAGTATACAAGGATATTTTATTATAATTAGATTCATCATTAACTTTATCCTATTTATAGTCGGTCTATTTGGCAAAACCTTTAAAATCTGTTTATTTTAAAATGTTTTAATTAAATATTTTTGCTTGTTTGTTTTCTTTTTTAATGTAGTGGGAAGAGTGGTTGATGTCATTAAATAATCCTACATGTCAAGAAGAAGCAGAATTGCTAGTGCACACAATTAATCTTGCTGCTGGCCATATGACACATGATGAGATATTATCCAAGCACACCAATAAAGTCTGTCACATGCTTAATGAGTTCCAAAATGGCCAGGTTATAAATCATAACTTTCGTTCGAGTTCGTTACACTAGGCTTATTTAATGTGATTTAGTTTTTTATACGACTTGCAAGTTATTACAATGCAGTGAAATTTATCATGTGTGCATTCAAAAAATAACAACCGCAAGTTCCTTTTCATAAAAAAATTGAATGATTAATTTGTGAAATTAAATATATATTTTTTTGTTTGTAGATTTCAAACTCTTCAAAGGCTAGAGACATTGAATTGTACATGCAAGCTCTTGTAAAGTTAGTGTTCAGTAACACCTCCTCAAACAACATCAATCAAGACATTAAACAAACATTCTTTGCAGTTGTTAAGACTTTTTATTACACTGCACATGTTAGTGAGGAAACAATCAACCATCACATATCCAAAGTTCTTTTTCAGAAAGCCTAGTAACATTCTTATGTGATTGTAATTCTGAAACAACATATATGGTGCTTTCTCTCTTTAATAATTGCTTTTACTTTCTCATTGCCATTGTTAATTTTTGAGACATGTTGTAATACTTAAAAGTGAAATATATTGAAGCTTATTCAAATTGGAGATATATATAGCATACTTGTACAAAAGTGTTAAGGTTCATTCCTAAGTGTATCAAATATGGTTTAGGATCGTAAGGTACCTCAAACACCTAATGAAGTTCAAAGTATTTCTATCGGCTATGATTTGATATGAGTTCATATAAAGGTAAACTTCAAATGACCATAATATAAAGAGTTAGGTGACCCACTGTCATGCCTCAAGCCTACACCCTGGACGTGGCCGACATTCAAAAATCATTGTTGGTTCCCAAGCGAATCCTTGGCCTGGTTGACTGCTTAGCGGAAGACTACTCAAGCATTTTTAGTTTTAAATAACTGAAGGGAAAACATTAAAATCAAATATTGTCTGAACTATATGAGAATACTTAATGTAAACAGTAATAGCTTAGCAAAATATTTGAAAATAAATATCTAGAGACTCTAATATTATCTATTTATAAATCCTCTACTATTTTAAGATAAACGTTAGGACAAGACCCACAACAATTTTTTTCCGATTTTCACTCAAGGTTTTCATTTAAAATCTGTGGAACTAAAGCAGCAGACCTAACTTATTTATTGTACATTATATTAGTACTGCCAATCTTTAATGGAGTGAGTCTTCTGAAATTATTAGACAAAATACTTAAAAGACGTCTTTAAATTTGGCCTAAATTATATATTTAAATTATCACTTTAGTTGTTTCTTTGAAATTTGTTTGTCTTTATCCTCTAGATATTTATGTGATAAAAGAGTATAGCTACACTTTCTTTTAGATGCGTACCGATAAATAAAAATGAAAAATCAACACCAAAGTAAGTACATCTTTTTGGCATACGTGGTCTCCAAACATCTCCTACATCCCTTTACTAAGTGAAGTTACGGAGTGTGCCACGTAAGCCAAAAGGTATACAAAATTAGTTTAGTTAAGGTGTGTCTCTAGGATTTCGGTCATAGTCTATAGGGGTACTTGTGCCTTACAATTAGAATAGAGAAAAAGGTCAGCCGTTGGTCTCTCACATAACCAAGGCTACCGATATATGATTTATATATAGTCTGATAATTTAGACAATAGAGTTGTAATACAAAACAAAACCTATCCTAATTATAGAAAATAAAGGACTTGCAATTTACATAAAAGACTTGTGAATATCTACGGAAGAATCCTAATAGGATTCGTTATCATCTAACACCCCCCGGCAAGCACATGTCGGGTTTGGAGACAGTGAGCTTGGACCGTAGATGAGCAAATCGAGAGGAGCTTAGAGCTTTAGTAAATACATCAGCAATTTGATCAGTGGAAGGAATGTATTGAACACAAAGTTGTCCACACGCAACCTTCTCTCGAACAAAATGATAGTCAATTTCAATATGCTTCGACCTTTGATGAAAGACAGGATTGGCAGTGAGATAAATGGCACTGATGTTGTTACAGAATATCACGGGAGGACGAGGACAGGGCAATCGAAGTTCTTTAACCAAACTAGTTATCCAAGATACTTCTGATGCGGCAAATGCAATGGCACGATATTCAGCTTCAGTGCTAGACCGAGCTACTACCTTTTGCTTTCGCGAGGACCAACTGATTAGATTAGGACCATAATATACAGCAAATCCATGATGAGAACGACGATCATCAGGATCAGCAGCCCACCCTGCATCACAGTAAACATTTATAATAGAGGAAGTGGATGGCGTGATGGTTATTCCATGTGTAAGAGAGCCTTTGAGATAACGAAGAATCTGTTTCACAGCTTTCCAATGATCCAAGGTAGGATTATGCATATATTGGCAAACACAACTCACCGAAAAAGAGATCTCTGGTCGTGTGATAGTCGCATATTGAAGAGCCCCAACAATACTCCTATATAATGATGGATCATCAAAGGTTTCACCATGTTTGGACAATTGGAATGTGCTATCTGCTGGAGAAGGAGAAGGCTTACAATCTGTCATTTTTGTTTGAGAGAGTAAGTCTCGAATGTAGCTAGCTTGGAGAGAGATGCATACCAGATCCCACGCGAGCAACTTCAATACCCAAGAAAAATGAGAGATCACCAAGGGCTTTTCGAGAGAACTGAAGATCAAGGGATTTGGTGAATGAGGAGATATAAGAGGGATCACTACCCGTTATGATGATGTCATCCACATAAACCAAGAGGTAGGTAGTAGAGGAGGGAGTATGACGGACAAACAAGGATGAATCAGAGTAGAAACAGATATAGCCATGCGATAGGAGAAATGTTTTGAGCTTGAGAAACCAAGCGCGAGGAGCTTGTTTTAGACCGTATAAAGCCTTTGATAAGCGACACACAAAATGTGGGTTAGACTTATCAGTAAAGCCTGGTGGTTGAGACATGTAAACAACCTCTGAAAGGTCACTATTAAGGAATGCATTATTAACATCTAACTGCTTAAGACACCAACCTTGAGACACTGCATGAGATAAGACAAGTCTGATTGTTGAAGGTTTGACAACTGGGCTGAATGTATCATGGAAATCAACCCCTTCTGCCTGATGAAAACCTTTGGCAACCAAACGAGCTTTGTACCTTTCAATCGACCCGTCGGCGCGACGTTTAATGTGGTACACCCATTTACAACCCACCACATTTGCATTAGGAGGACAAGGAGAAAGTGTCCATGTGTGATTACGAATCAATGCTTGATACTCAGCTTCCATGACGCACAACCAATCAGGAGATGATGCAGCTTGAAGGTCCCCAAACATTAGAATACACCAAATCAAAAGGAGACAAGCTACGACTTGAAGAAGAAGATAAAGGGAGCCTATGACTCTTTCCTAATTGACATGATCCACAAACTGAAGACATTTTATTGGATGACACTGGAAGATTAAAACTAGAGACTAAACGACGCAAAAGTTGCTCGTGAGGATGACCAAGGCGTTCATGCCACGCTTGGAGTGATGCTCGTGAGCTGACAAATGTGCGAGGAGCTGAGGATGAGATAACTGGAAGCCTACCACCATTCAAACGATATAATCCATCATCAAGTGACCCTCGAAGTAGAGATTTTCCCTGAAGATCCTTCACAAAACAACAAGAGGGGTGAAATTCCATAAAGACATTGTTATCTTTAGTAAATTGAGAAACACTCAATAAACTCTTGGTGATGGAAGGAACATGAAGAATTTTATTAAGATGAAGAGGTCGAGTAGTACAAGGAAGCTTGGAGGAGCCAGTGTGATGAATAGAGAGTTTTTGACCATTACCTACAACAAAATGATCCTCACCATTATAGTCCGTGTGAATGGATAGTTGAGACAAATCCGACGTAACATGATTGGTGGCACCGGAATCTACAAACCATGAATTGTCAACAATAGCCGAAGGAGACATCATATTATCCGAGGGAGTGACCATATTGTCTTGTGGATGATTAGAGGAACGATTAGGTGGATAGGAGTGTATGTTGTTGCGGTTGTAACAATTACGAGCATGGTGGTTGGGTTTCTCACATATTTGACAAATAATGCGAGAAGATGATCTACTAGAAGAACGAGAAGGATTGATGTTGTTTGGGCGACCGGAGGATTTTTGAGAGGTGGTGAAACTTTGTTGATTGGACTGGCCAGTGATTGGGGAGCGATTGGAGTATTGGCGAGATATGGCATTGGCTTGAAGTTGGAGGGCTTTGGTTTCCTCAACAAGTTTCTCCTCTTCTTGGAGAAGTAAACCAAGAAGTGAGTCAGTAGTGAGGTTTATAAGATGAGGATTGATGGCTGAGCGAAACGGGCCATATGAAGAATTTAGACCGAACAAAATAGCGCTCATAAGTTCTTCGTCTGTTATTGGACGGGCAGCAAGAGCTAGACTATGGGATATAGTACGTTTCTTGTCAACATAGTCCATAATGGTGAAAGAGCCCTTTGTGGTGGTTTGGAGTTGGTGGCGAAGTTGCATGACTCGAGCTCGAGATTGAGATTGAAAGAGATTGGAAAGATATGACCAAGCTTCACGAGTGGTGCGGATGTGCATTATGTAGGGTAGAATAGAATGGCTCATGGTAGTTTTAAGCCAAAGAAGAAGGATTTTGTCCCTCTTTTTCCAAGCCGTGAAGGCCGGATTTGGCGTGGAGTCAGATGTACCCTGAGTAGTGGTTAGGACAGTGGCAGATGGAATATTTGATCCATCAAGATGAGCCTCCAAATCAAAGGCTTCAAAGGCAGAGTATACTGTTGATTGCCAAATGTAATAATTTTCCCGATCAAGTTTTATCGGAAGGCCGGGAAGGGCAATTGTTTGGGAGTTGGAATCAATGATGGAGAGATGTGTTGAAGGAGAGGAATGTGGCTGAAACGCAGCAGCGATGGACGAGTTGGAGCTGTCCATATTGGTGGCGGAAAAACAAACTTGGCTCTTGATACCAAATTAGAATAGAGAAAAAGGTCAGCCGTTGGTCTCTCACATAACCAAGGCTACCGATATATGATTTATATATAGTCTGATAATTTAGACAATAGAGTTGTAATACAAAACAAAACCTATCCTAATTATAGAAAATAAAGGACTTGCAATTTACATAAAAGACTTGTGAATATCTACGGAAGAATCCTAATAGGATTCGTTATCATCTAACACTTACATAGTCATATACAATGATTATGTTAGCGCTTTATCCCCCAATTGTTAATCATCATATAGTTATATACCGAGTCATATTTGTTAGGAAGCGCTTTATCTCTCAATATGGGACTTTTCGGAGCGAATCACGATTTAGTCGGGCTCCAATATGGGTACTGGTTGGAAATTAATAAGTGTATGGTCCTTCTTGATACCTTGGCACTCTATAAAAATAACTCCAAATGCTTACCAAAAATACATGTTTGGGACAAAATGCAAATTTCAGTAAGACATCACAAACCAAAATTAGTAGCTCCATCAAGTGTAACACCTAGTGAAATAAAATATCTTTCTGAAATAGATGATCAAGGAAGTGCTCGTTTTCAAATTCCCATAATAATGTTTTACAATTATAATTCTTTAATGGAAGGCAAAGATCCTGCAAAATTTATCGAAGATGGATTATCTAACACACTTGTGTTTTACTATCCATTAGCTGGTAGACTCATTGAAGGGCCTAATAAAAAGCTTGTGGTGAATTGTAATAGTGAAGGAATCATGTTTATTGAAGCTGATGCTAATGTTGAGCTTGACAAATTAGGTGAGTCTATTAAACTACCATGTCCATACTTAGATTTACTACTTCATAATGTTCCTGGTTCTGATGGGATTATTGGTTGCCCTCTTTTGCTAATTCAGGTAAATAACATTCTATATAAATCTTCTTTAGATTTTCTTATTAAAAAAATAGGAAAAATGTACGAGTACCTCTTAGACTATGACTGAAATCTCAGAGACATACCTTAACTAAACTAAGGTCCTATTACCCCTGAACCCATTTTTTTTTGTAATTTTGTACACCTTTTTGGCTTACATGACATCTAAATATCTCCCACGCACCTGAATTGCGTGAATCACGGAGTGTGCTACGTAAGATAAACGGTGTATAAAGTTAAAAAAAAAAAAGAGTTCGGGAGGGTAATAGGACCTTACTTTAGTTAAGGTGTATCTCTGGAACTTCGGTCATAGTCTAGGGGTTACTTGTGCCTTATCCCAAGAAAATAATCTACTATTACACATTAAAATTACTAAACCAGAATATCTCTATGTATAGGTGACCCGTTTTACCTGTGGTGGATTTGCTGTTGGATTTAGACTTAATCACACTATGATGGATGCATATGGCTTCAAAATGTTTCTAAATGCATTAAGTGAGTTAATTCAAGGAGCTTCTCGACCTTCTATATTACCATGTATGACATGTACTCACCATGAATTTGATGAGCAAATTGAATAAAAAATTGCATGGGAATCTATTGAAGACAAGTTGATACAAAAATCATTTTTCTTTGGAAATACGGAGATGGAAGTCATTAAAAATCAAGTTCCTTCAAATTATGAATGTACAAAATTTGAGTTATTAGCGGTGCTTTTATGGAAATGTCGTACCATTGCTCTTGATTTGCATCCTGAAGAAATTGTTCGTTTCACGTTACTTATCAACATACGTGGAAAATTACTAAAATATGAATTGCCATGTGGATATTATGGAAACGCATTCATTACTCCAGCTGCGATATCAAAAGCAGGATTGTTATGTTCAAATCCACTAATAACATATGCAGTTGAGCTAGTCAAGACACTTAAAGATTATATGAATGAAGAGTACATTAAATCAGTGACAGATTTAATGGTGATTAAAGAAATTAAAGACCAGAGTTGTCAAAATCTTGGAATTTTCAAATATCAGATAGTAATAGTTATGTTGGATTTGATGAATTTGATTTTGGATGGGGAAACCTCATTTTTGGTGGGGTTCCAAAAGCTATATCTGTAATTAGTTTTGGGGTGCAAGTTAAAAATGACAAGGGAGAAAAAGGTATTTTGATAGCTATAAATTTGCCTCCCCAAGCCATGGAAAAATTTCAAGAAGTTATCTACAAGACTTTAAGAAATGTGAAGGAATCAATATAATTTTAAAGATGTAAATATTATTTTTCTGCATTTGTATGTTTTGGGAGTGAATAAATCAAAATTTTGAAGCTTGTAATATTCCACCCTTTTTCCCATTAATAAGTAATACTTGTCAATTATGTATGATATTTAAAAAATCAAGTATATGTTATGTTTTATTGGAATTAAATTTTAAAGACAGAAAGACAGACTTTTGAAATACGTAATATTTTATTATTATTATTCAATTTTTCTTAGTTAATTTTTCTCTAACATTTTGCTAAGATGAATATCATACGGGCGAATATACATAAAAGGATGAAATGTCAAGACATTTGGATGTTTTGGTTGAGTTAACAAGGGATCTTAAAAAGGATGTATAACCTTTGTAAGATTGAATATGACATATAAATTGTGATTAAAATATAATAATAATAATACCGATTAAACTTGAGTTGAATTGAACCAAATTAAATTTTCAAAATTAGACAATCTTTTTAAGGTTGAATACGAATTGGAATGAATATTAATTTTCTATTATTTATTAACATGTTAGTTTCTATATTTTTTTATATTTATATATTAATTTTCGTTTAATTATTATTTTCTATTATCAGAGAATTAAATTATAAAAATATTAATACCTTTAAATTTAATCGTGCTTGTGTCAACATTTTTTCTTCTTCAAAAATGGTTGGATATTTACAGCAATGGTAACACCTCGTAGTGATAAACATCTTTCTGAAATATTAATATGTTGGAACTATATTAATACAATTAATGATTTACATTCTCAAAGCCCCAACTATTTTATAATAATAATAATAATAATAATACTAATAATATTAGTAATAGTAATAGTAATAGTAATAGTAATAGTAATAGTAATAGTAATAGTAATAGTAATAGTAATAGTAATAGTAATAGTAATAGTAATAGTAATAGTAATAGTAATAGTAATAGTAATAGTAATAGTAATAGTAATAGTAATAGTAATAGTAATAGTAATAGTAATAGTAATAGTAATAGTAATAGTAATAGTAATAGTAATAGTAATAGTAATAGTAATAGTAATAGTAATAGTAATAGTAATAGTAATAGTAATAGTAATAGTAATAGTAATAGTAATAGTAATAGTAATAGTAATAGTAATAGTAATAGTAATAGTAATAGTAATAGTAATAGTAATAGTAATAGTAATAGTAATAGTAATAGTAATAGTAATAGTAATAGTAATAGTAATAGTAATAGTAATAGTAATAGTAATAGTAATAGTAATAGTAATAATAATAAAAAAAAAAATATATTATTATTATTATTATTATTATTATTCCTTTTCAATTTATTACAACAGAAGGGGTAGTATTTATTTAAAGGCACATGTTTCTCATTTTTAATTTGATTTAACAACCCACATAGCTGTTTTTTTCTTTGTTTGATTAAACATAGAAATATTCTACTTCCTTTGTTCCTAATTACTTATCCATTTTTCCTTTTAGTCCCTAATTACTTGTCCATTTTGATAAATCAAAAAATGACAAAATAATTTTACCTATTATACCTCCAATTAATTACTTTGAAAAATATACTATTTCTTGAAAATCTTAAATTTTCAATCCATCAACTTCATAATTAATAGGTGTAAAATGGTAAATTCACTATGTCAATAATTGCTTTCTTAATAAATGTGTCAATTTAAAAGTGGACAAGTAATTAAGGACAGAGAGAGTATCAAACTAATATGAATCATTACACTTTGACGTTGAAGGGTCATTGATAATTTTATTTTATTTTTGGACTTATTAATGTAACGTTCACAAAGAAAGAAGTTAAAGAAAGAAAAACGTTTTCTTAAAAATGGTACATACATATTCCTTACATATTTTCTAATCACCAACAAAATAGATCGATGGATCGCTTTTTACTTGTCTACTATTTTAGAAATATATTTTTATTCTTAACATTCATTCTTTATTTCTCAAAATCTAACACTATAACATTAATTAATATGAGCATTGTAGTAAAATACTCATATTAAATATTATTTTTTAAGGAGCATGTAAAATTCAAAGTGGACAAGTAAAAGTAAATAGTTGGAGTATATAAGAGAGAGACGTAAAACCTTATCTCTAGTTAACTAGACGGGGAATGAACGTGCGTATTCCTTTCTGAACAAGAAGTTTAAGAAACAACTAATTTTGAAATTTGTAATATAAAATAAGTCATAAATATTTGAAATTGACTATAAATCATAATGAGAAGTAATTAAAAGTTAAAACTATTTATAAATTCGAGTTGAAATTTAGACAAAAACAATTTTTATAGTGCTTGTGTTAAACATTTTTTTTTAAAAAAAAAAAACGAATGACCGGGTGGATAGTCCAACGTTCCTACACCACACATTTTTTGTGTTTGTGATTGAATAATGATCAATTACACATCTCTTACTTGATGTAATTGACACTCTATAAATTTCATTCCAAATGCTTACCAATAATTCATATTTCAAAATAATAACTCTTCTAAATTCTATTAAACCTCTCTTTTAACCGAATTAATAGCACATTACACGTATGGCGCACAAGACTATGCCAATTTCAATAACACATCACAAGCCAAAATTAGTTGTTCCATCAATTGTAACACCCCATGAGATAAAACATCTTTCTGAAATAGATGATCAAGGGAGTACTCGTTTCCATGTTTCTCTATTAATGTTTTATAAATATAATTCTTTAATGGAAGGTAAAGATCCAGCAAAATTTATCAAAGATGGATTATCTAAAACACTTGTGTTTTATTATCCATTAGCTGGTAGGCTCATTGAAGGGCCTAATAAGAAGCTTATGGTGAATTGTAATGGTGAAGGAGTGTTGTTTATTGAAGCTGATGCTAATGTGGAGCTTGAGAAATTAGGTGACTCTATTAAACCACCATGTCCATACTTAGATTTACTACTTCATAATGTTCCTGGTTCTGATGGGATTATCGGTTGCCCTCTTTTACTAATTCAGGTAAATAACATTCTATATAAATCTTCTATCTTATTTTACAAGTACCCATTAGAGTATGACTGAAATCTCAGAGACACACCTTAACTAAATTAAGGTCCTATTACCCACTGAACCCATTTTTTGTACATCTTTTTGGCATACGTGGCATTCAAATATCTTTCACGTGCCTCAACTACGTGAAGTCACGGAGTGTGCCCCGTAATATAAAAGGTGTACAAAATTAACAAAAAATGAGTTCAGAAGGTAATAGGACCTTAGTTTAGTTAAGGCGTATCTCTGAGATTTCAGTCATAGTCTAAAGAGTGTGCCTTATCCCAAAAATAAAATAAAATTTATTACACAGTAAAATTACTAAACTAGAATATCTTTATATATAGGTGACCCGTTTTCGCTGTGGTGGATTTGCTTTTGGATTTAGACTTAATCACACTATGATGGATGCATATGGTATCAAAATGTTTCTAAATGCATTAAGTGAATTAATTCAAGGAGCTTCTACACCTTCCATATTACCTGTATGGCAAAGGGATCTCCTAAGTGCTACATCATCACCATGCATTACATGTACTCACCATGAATTTGATGAGCAAATTGAATCAAAAATTGCATGGGAATCAATTGAAGACAAGTTGATACAACAATCATTTTTCTTTGGAAATACGGAGATGGAAGTCATTAAAAATCATGTTCCTCCAAATTATGGATGTACGAAATTTGAGTTATTAGTGGCGTTTTTATGGAAATGTCGTACCATTGCTCTTGATTTGCCCCTTGAAGAAATTGTTCGTTTGACATTACTTATGAATATACGTGGAAAGTCACTCAAATTTGAACTGCCACCTGGATATTATGGGAATGCATTCATTACTCCAGCTGTAATATCAAAAGCAGGATTACTATGTTCAAATCCACTGACAAATGCAGTTGAATTGGTTAAGAAAGTTAAAGATCATTTAAATGAAGAGTATGTTAAATCAATGACAGATCTAATGGTGATTAAAGGGCGACCACAAATAACCAAATCTTGGAATTTTCTTATCTCAGATAATAGATATGCTGGATTTGATGAATTTGATTTTGGATGGGGAAATCCCATTTTTGGAGGGGTTCCAAAAGCTACATCTTTCATTAGTTTTGGTGTGTCTGTTAAAAATGACAAGGGAGAAAAAGGTGTTTTGATAGCTATAAGTTTGCCTCCATTGGCCATGAAAAAACTTCAAGATATCTACAAGATGACTTTCACAAATATTAAACAAGTCAACATAATTTCAAAGATATAAGGCGTTTTCCTATTTGAAAGTACTTGTTCATCTTGTATTTTAGTATTTTGTTTCAATTTATGTGACGGTGTTTGAAAGTCAACGGCTTGTTTGTTTCTCTTCAATTTGCAGTCAAACATAGCACAAATGGTCACTTAGTGTGTAATTTTATGTATAAATCAACTGAATTCCATTTACAATTTACATAAATTGACACACATATTTGGATAAGTACAAGGAAAAAGTTTTGAAGTAAATATAAATCCTCTTCATTTCAAGAAAAGATTCTATGATGACTTAAGATTCCACATTGTTGATTTCTCCTGAAAATAGAAACAAGAATGCAAAACAAGTTAGTGAGAGTTACATGGATCTATTAGAGCTCAGAAAACTCAAACATTGTGTATATCAATGTATTTAGTAAGATTCATCACTATAAACCAATAAAACGTTTGCGTTGGAGGAATCTTAGTAGCTTAGTTGGTTGGTTATCTGAACTTTCACCTTGTTAGTGAGTTCAATTCCCCTGTAATCCCCTACCCCAAAAAAAGATAGATAGTAATTACCTAAAGAAAAAAACTAAGAAAACACATTGAAGACTGCACAGAGGCATCTAACCAAGAATTTTAACTGCTTTTCTGATCACTGTGAATGAAACAGTTTGATTAAGAAATGACAGTGAAGATATACTGTATTACCTTATTCCATGATCACAAATAAAACGGATTTGGGTTTCGATCTACATATGTTGCTCGTACTCTTCAAAAATGTCAATGGTTGTATGTCAATTCCTCCAAAAAGTAGTGTGTTTTTTAAGGATCCGACACAGGTGCAGCGGCATTTTTGGAGAACACAAGCAACTTAGGTTTTGATACTTCTAAGAATCAAATATTCTTCAACATTACTTCAAACATATTTAGTATATTTGCTTCATATAAGTTAACCAAGCCAAAAAAAAATGGGGGTGGGGGGGGTGATTGAATATCTAGAAAACAATACCATGCATGCATTTGATGAAGTAGTCCAGTTCCGAGAAACATATTGCACTCTGAACCAAAGGCGATGGTTGTTGAAATGCAAAAAAAGAGAAACGGTGACGATCAGGATCATTTCTAGGCTTTGCAGTCTCAACCAGCCTCATAAATCCTTCTCTATCATAACATGGAAATGCATTATTACCAGCAACATTAATCTCTTTATCCCATGCTGAATTCATGATCTGCAGAAACAGAAAAGTGTTTAAGACGCAAGAAAAGAAAAAATGAACCCGTGCTTCACTGCTCTCTGAGTGATATGCCCCAAGGGGTGTATCTACGAATCAAACTTCTTTTATTTGCCTCTTTAAGAGAGTTCTCGGAGGAATGTTAAGAAGCCAATAACCTGCCAACTCAAGCCTTCTGGATCTGCCAACGCGTCATCAGTTTCTGGAACCTGAAGCCCTGAACTTACAAACTTTATTGTTACAGAGTGCTTTTTGAGAACCTCAAAAACTGGAGAATAGCCATCCTGGTTCGTTGGGTTGTAATATCCAGCTGTGAGCTCTGCAGCATGGCTGCTCGTTCTGTACCACCAATAAATTGCTGGAATCTGCAGAAAAAAGAGAAATCTAATTCACCAGGAAAAAGTATGCCTCTATCCAAGCTCTTCATTAAGATACTGTCAATCTTTTAGACGAACATTTTCACTTATTCAACTACCTAGAACACCATCAATGTGCACCAGCTAAATCAATTTGAATAGCAACAAATAACTCAAAGGAATTTTGTTACAAGTGCAGTCTTTCATTATTTTATCATGCTCATTTTTCCTGAATGCTTTGTAACACTTTCTCTATTATCTGTTATATCTACTTTACTTCCGTAAATTTTTTTGATGTGTTACTTGAGCCAAGGGTCTTTTAGAAACAGCATATCCACCTCCAAGAGGTAGGGCCGTAGGGGTAAGTCCGCATACACTTCTACCCTCCCCAGACCTGACATGTGGGATTGCACTGGGTAGGTTGTTGTACCCTCCCCCGACCCGAACCAGAAGGTATTATCAATTCCACTTCATGAAGGCCAATCCAATTTATATTTGACCAAAAACATCTTAAATATTTTGAACTACTATAATTTTGCTACTTTTAGTATTATTATTTAGTTTTCAAATCTCAATTTATTTAATTCAAAAAGATAGAATTTAGAAATTGCTTTTCAAAAACTGGTCAAATTTATCCAAAGCAAAGAAAGGCTCTTGAGTTTGGAAGCTAAGAGCATAAACTACCAATTTTGAATTATTGGAGATGAAAACAATAAAAGTTGAGAAATAGAAAAAAAGCGAAACAAGGGTCAGAAAGTATGACGAGCTGATTTAGGCCCATATGTATACCTTCACGACAATTTGTATCCCCTCAAATGCAAGAGTTGCCAGGGTGAGAACGTTATCAGCATGATCTATTAAGACCTGTCTATACCAATGGAGGAAAAATCTCCCATAGTAGCTATCATAATCACCTCGCTCACAGAAGAATCCAGTTTCATGTGGCTTAGAATTGTAATAACCAGCATTATCAGGTCCCTTGGCCCAGAAAGAGTGTCCCCTTGATGTTGCAGCTTTTCGAAGATTCTGCAGAGAATATTTATCATAGCACTGAAACAGGAAAAGTTGAAGCTAATTAGAGGGGGGGACAATCAAATAAAATAAAAAGGGTTTTAAATTCATGTTCAGGACACCACTATAATAGTTATCTAGTTTAAATCTTTAAAAGGAAACAAGCTAATAATCTGTATACAAAAATACCAATGTGATACACAAATCGAAAAAAGTTATCATCATATTCATAAGATAATTGTCGCATCATATTCAAGCCTTTTGTATTTCCCATCCCAACATTATAGAGACATGTCTACTTAGTAGTCACTTCTTTCCTTTCAACTTTCCTGTATGTTATTATAACAGCTTTGTTAGTAATGCCCTGTGACTTAGCTCTAGATAATAGGTGCTGATGAGGAATCACAGAAAATCTCTATGTAATGTTTTTTACTGTTTGTTTCACCTCTTTAAAAAGGCTACGCGTTAGTTAGGTACAGTTCTGTAGGATATTTCTTTGGCTACAAATATTACAATCTAAGATAGATAGAATTGATAGTCCCTCATCACTTCTATGCAACAGGTTGACTCAAGAGGGGTAACTATATCATAGAAACCATTACATCATATGAAATTTCTCCTTACAAACCAAAAAAAATAACTACATAAAAACTATCCACTTAGGTTAAATGAAGAACTAAACAATGTCAGACAGTCAGACTACGCATTTTCAGGTACACCAAGGTTATCAAACAGACTCAGGGAACAAGATAAGATTATTTTCTAAAACTATAGTCGGTGAAGACCAAGTAATATGACCAAATCACGTAACTATTCATACATCATAGCCTTCCTATAACAGATACCTGAAACTCACCAATACCAGGATACCTCCATCCCATCCTTTCAGAAAAAGAAGGGTACTTTAGCTCCCCAGAAGCTCCAAGTCCAATTTCAACAGCAGAAATTAGACCATCAGTGAACAAGTCATCAAATTCAGTGCGGAAGCTTCTCATCAAATCAAAGTAAACCTGCAATTTTGGATTTCAAACTAGTGATCAAAATAACTAATATTTAGTTCCAATTTAGACTATTACAACTTTATTTCTTTTTAGTTTTCACTTTTGTCTCAGCATCAGCGAAGGCAATCAAACGGAGAAAACACTCTTTTATGTAGGAAATGATATATCAATCAGACTTCTATTTTTATTTTTTTAATAGAAAAGCTGTCAGACTTCTATTTACAAGAGCCACATTACCTTTCACTTCTAAAACTAATCTTGTGGAAAGTTCCTCAGAAATACAAATTATTCATTATCCAGTTGACAATACAATTTACATGATTGGATGATATGTATTAGAGAGATATTCCCTTCAAAGAATCAGGGAACGTTAGCTTTTCTCATTTGAAAGGAATAAAAGGAAAAATTAATACCTCGATGGCAGTTCTACCTCTTAATACTCGCTCTTTGTCGATGCCCCAGGATAGGCATTCAGTGTTCCTTCTTCCTTGACGATCTGTGAAGAATATATCCTGATTGTCTTTGCCTATCTCCAGAACCCACTGAGGAAGGGAAATGAACATGCCACTGGTATCACTTCCTCCATTTTCATGAAATGCCATTACAACCTTTGTGGATAAAAGAAGAAATTACATATCTATTATTGGGAATCCGCCCATAAATAGCCTAAACAAGCTCAAGAAATGTCTTAATGCAAACATAAAATGGGAACATATATCAATTGCCGCTTTCTTCTGGTTGGGTTACTTTCCCCTCAAGGAGTGAGGGGAATAATATTCCAGAATATAGATGTAATGAGGCATCGTAAGAATGAATTGTTTGTAAGACACTGAAATGACTAAAGCAGGAAAGGCCAGGGTTCTTTCCACCAAAGGTTGACTAGTTTAAGACTTGTTAGAAATTTGACGAATCAATGAGTATAATATAAACAAAGAGTGGCTTAAGACCTGCAGTTTCATATTGAAATCACGGATTATTTTGAACAATTCTCTGTAGCCAGACCACTCATATTTTTGAGGTACCCAACTTTCAACGATGCCCCACCAGCAATTTACCACAACACCATCGATTTTTAAGGACTTCAGCTGTTGCAACTCCTGTTTAACACCATCAGGATCCATCAACTGGCAGAAATTGTTGATTACACCACTCTGCCACAAGCAAAGCCATGATCTAAGTATGGATAATTAGAATGAAAATGGAATGTGTATAGATGTGATGCCAACTGTTTCCTTATGTTTTATTTTGAATGGTGAACATGGAAAGACAATTAACAATGAGAGAGAAATCTGAAAGCTTGGCCTCCTCCTTTTACATGTAATGAGGAACAAAAATATATTAAGGAAAAAGCTGCTTACAGAAAGCATAACAAAAACAGGGACGTATTGAGTCTCTGCAAAACTACTTCCATGCTCCCCACAGTGAAGTTCTTGCATGAGCTGCAACAAATAACTTGTTAGATATCCTCCGACGGGAGAACAAATGTATCCAGTATACCAACCTTCAAATAAAAATAGCTTACAAATATACAAGCAACCATGTTGTATCAAGAACAACTTAGTCTGTTCTCTGCTGCTGAGATAAAATCATGCTACTAGGGTCTTTGAAGCATGAAGAGTTGATCTCAAAATAAACTTCCAAAATGAATGTGAGATATTGAAAGAAGAAAGTCAACATTAAGATCTTCCATTGTTGTTGGGAAAAAGTCAAAAACACTCAAATAAATATGTCGGAAGTGGAACAAGGAATTACTACGTCAACTATGTCATCTCATACGCAGCTTAAGTAGCATGAACACAGACACACAGAGAAAATATTTTTTGAGAATTTGCGGACATGACACAAACAAGAAAAGGCATTACATCCTCATATATGACTTCATATGTAGCTTCAATCTAGCCAAAAAAAAATCAAAAAGAAAACATGAGCTGCAGATCCAACATTAATTTCACAGGTTCCTGCATTATATTTTAGTCAGTCAACATCAGTTATAAATAGAGAGACAGAGTGAGAAAGAGGGTGAAAAGAAAATGCATCTAAAATCCTCCAAAAGACAAAAAGAACATAAAACCTGATACTAAACAACTCAAATATAGTAGCAAGTCTCCGCCTCCCCTCTGATTTGGAAAATGGACAATTTGTATCTTCATATGTTCTCATTTATGCTAAAACAATTCAATTAGTTGTATTAACAGTGCTACATTGCAGTCTAATGAAAAGATGGGAAACGTTTAAGATGGTGGAATACATCATGATAAATAATAAACCCCAAAGCCACGTTGAACATTACTTTTAACGTATATCATCCTCAGCTTATAAGAACTTGATTTACCTGGCCTGCCTCTAAACATCCTGTAGAATTCATTGGACTGGTACTTGTGAATTTATCAACCTTCGTATCACTTTCTGTGACCACAATAGAATCAAAAGATGCGGGCGATAAACTCTCATTGATCCTTGGAACTGATGGCTGACCATCCACAGATGCTCTAGTTGAGCAATTTCTAAAGGAACTGCCAGAAACTGGGCTCTCAACAGACATCACCTGATAAGTCCCCTATGAAATTTATTCAGTGGTAGTGATAATTAAGACATCATTTTTGTTGGCAGTTTAATGTTTAAACAGAATATCAAGAAGATCAAATGCCAATGAGACAAGATGTTATCTTTGCAGCAGCAGATGCAGTGAAAACAAAATAACTCCAAGATAAAATATGAATTGGTATGTATTATTTCAAAGCAATGTATTTTCAGAAAACGTCTTTAAAAAGACCATATAAACATAGATTCACGACTTCAGAATCTTCCAAACACATTGACTGATTGAAGGTAACATGCCTAACAATGAAATGTACAATCTCAAGAAAAAGTGTAATATCTGTTAGTAATATATGGTAATAACAAACGTGTTTGGTTGTTGTATTTTCATTTTTATTCTGTACATTCTACAAAAGAAAATAATGATCTCCTCAATTATTACATTAAGTTACAGTTAGAGCACCACATACACCAAACTATCTAGGTACATCATTTATACTTTGTACGTTGTTTTTTCTTTGTTTTATTTTGTTTTATTTTTTTGATAGCATATACTTTGTAAGTTTCTTTTCTAATTATTAAAGGGAGAAGGGACGGATTTACCCCCGAACTTTAATAAATGGTACGTCTATGCCCTCCGTTATACTTTCCGTCCACATAAGCCCCTGCCGTCCAATTATAGGTACACACATACCCCTCGCACTAACGGCCCCCTCATTTTTTACACGTGTCTTAAATCTAATCAACTACCCGTTTGACCTTTCTTTTTAACCCATAAACCAACTACCCGCCCCATAAACCCAATACCCACCCAACTTCCTCCCGAATCCGAGCTTGAGATCAAGCTCCACAGTAACACTAACTTTTTTGTTAAATTCATTAGAGCTAAATAAATGCGCAGTTGAAGTTACCACTGAGCATTTTCTTTGATTATTAGCAACAGCGCCACCATTTTTCATTTTCATTTTCATTTTCATTTCACGAGACGAATTTGAAGATGATGACGTCGATGTTGGTGAAGTAGGCAGAGGAACAATCGGAGGAATTTGGAAATTTGTTCGAGCTTTTGAACCTCTCAACCACCTCGCCGCCGCGTCGTACGCACGCGCCGCCTCCTCCGGCGTGTCGAATGTACCCAACCAGTGTCTGCACCGCCCTATACGGTCGCGAATCTCCGCTGACCATCTCCCCCATGGCCTATTTCTCACTCCTCTGTAACTCTTCTCCACTGATGGAACATTATTCCTCTTTTCTGCAGGACACGTGCGTTTCAGAATTGAAACTGCTGAATTTGGATCATCATTCTTGTTTTCATTGTTATTGTAACCGAAAAGAACATGTTCTCCAACAACAGCAGCAATTCCTTCAAGAACATGGGATTTTTCATTTTCATTTTCATTTTCATTTCACGAGACGAATTTGAAGATGATGACGTCGATGTTGGTGAAGTAGGCAGAGGAACAATCGGAGGAATTTGGAAATTTGTTCGAGCTTTTGAACCTCTCAACCACCTCGCCGCCGCGTCGTACGCACGCGCCGCCTCCTCCGGCGTGTCGAATGTACCCAGCCAGTGTCTGCACCGCCCTATACGGTCGCGAATCTCCGCTGACCATCTCCCCCATGGCCTATTTCTCACTCCTCTGTAACTCTTCTCGACTGATGGAACATTATTATTATTATTCCTCTTTTCTGCAGGACACGTGCGTTTCAGAATTGAAAGTGCTGAATTTGGATCATCATTCTGTTTTCATTGTTATTGTAACCGAAAAGAACATGTTCTCCAACAACAGCAGCAATTCCTTCAAGAACATGGGATTTTTCATTTTCATTTTCATTTTCATTAGCAGAACAGAGTAATTATCCCAAAATGGGTCGAGGGAATAATTAGTGTTGTCAATGGAGAAATTATGATTTGGTTCATTTGGGTAATAAAGGGGTTTTTGTGTAGAGAAGAAGAATAGGATATATCTTAGAGGAAATTGGGTGGGTATTGGGTTTATGGGCGGGTAGTTGGTTTATGGGTTAAAAAGAAAGGTCAAATGGGTAGTTGATTAGATTTAAGACACGTGTAAAAAATGAGGGGGCCGTTAGTGAGAGGGGTATGTGTGTACCTATAATTGGACGGCAGGGGCTTATGTGGACGGAAAGTATAACGGAGGGCATAGACATACCATTTATTAAAGTTCGGGGGTAAATCCGTCCCTTCTCCCTTTATTAAAAGAAACTTCAGTTCTCTTTTCATCATCCAGCAAACTACACCATAGATCATTCCTTTGGTCGAGTATAGTTCAAGATGGCAACTGGTCAAAATCATCCAACATTTTCTCTATTAAATTAGATACATTTAACTGTTTACATTTTTCCAGTAAATTCAATATCTTCTACGGCGTAAATATTAGTAAGCTAGGAAAGACTTCACATTCAATATACTCGAGGGTAAATTCTGCTTAACCCATTAACCTTTTGGGTTTGGTGAACAGTACTTTAAAAGGTTTGGGGAACAGTACTTCCTTCGGATTAGAAAGCACAAAGAATCTCATTAACCTCAGAGTCAAGGAGAAAAATAAAAGTCATTCACCGGAATGCCAGAAGGACAAAATGTAGTGAGATCTCTCACAACTCACAAGACCAAGAAATATGGAAGAACGACATAAAACTAAAAACCTTGTCCGCAATGTTGACAAGCTAAAGTAAAATTTTCAAAATTGCAAAGGGTAACACCTTCGAAAGAAGGGTCAAGGTATAATAAATTTTGAAACTCTAGGAAAAAATCGCACAAAGCGATAAAAGCCAAAGGCATGAATATCAATCTAAATTAATACTATTGCATAATTTTTTCCTGTTTTACGACAACAACCAAGCCATATGGGGAGGGTGGTGTGTACGCAACCTTCCTCCCACCTTATCCCGAATATATTTGTTCCTAATCATCTCTCTCCTACTTTGCCCACATATCAATCTTAACATCCTCATTTCCGCTACTTTTATCTTCTAGACGTGTGAGTTATTGACAAGCCAACACTCCACCTCATACAACATAGTTGATCTAAGAACCAGTTTACAAACCATCTCATACAACATAGTTGATCTAAGAACCACTTTATAAAACATACTTTTAAGTCTTCATGAACATTCTTATCACATACGACATCGGATGCAAGTTTCCATTACATCCACCTCAGTCCAATACGACATGTAACATCATCGTCAATCTTCTCATTTCCTTGTATTTATTGACCCAAGATACTTGAAACTTGAAGATGACTTGTGTATCAAACCTCACTTACACATCTACCTCATGAGTTAAGTCACTAAACTTGCACTTCAATTATTGTCTTAGTCTTGCTCAAACTGAACCCATTAGACACCAGGGTATGTCTCCAAACCTCTGACCAATCGTCAACACAGAAGACATCAATCTATGATGTTTTTTTATAAGAGTGGTGTCCAGCTATTTTGCGTGTTCCTCGACTATTCCACCAAATACCTATTATCTCCCCCTGCACAAGTTCTGGTAACTCTCTCCCACCAACACTTAGGCGGATAGCAAGAAATCACCTAACATCTCGTCTCTGCAAAAATTTGAAACCCCCCCCCCAATCTACCAGAGTTTTACCCACTTTGTTGAAACCTAAGCTACACCACTTGGGTCAAAGGGGTTCTCTATCCCATTGAACAGGTAAAAGGGGTACAATTTAATGGATTAAGTGTAATTCACTCTATGCTTCAATAACTAATACTTTTTTCTATCTCTCAAATTGGTTTCACAAAGTGCATTGCATATAACACTCAAATTATGAAAGGTAAACTGTAAAGACTCAAACTTTGGCAAAAGAACATCAAGTAAAAATCCATTCAGTAGTAAATGTGAAAGTTGACACATAAATTAGAACGAAGGGAGTAATTTCAGTAAATATGAACTCACCATATTTGAAGCATTAGTCGGAGCAGGAGCAGGAGATTGTCTAAAGGTGGTACCATCAGGCTCAACAGTCCAACCGGCTTGCCGAGCAAGTGCAGCAAGGACATCATTCATATCAGCACGAACAGGAAGTGGAAAATTCCCGTACTGACGAAGTCCAGCAAGCATTCGGCTCGTAATTGCTCGCCGGTGACGTTCTCGTAGCTTCGTTCGTTCCTTCTCCTTCTCTCTCTCTTTTCTGCTCTTATTTATGGTTCCGGCGCCAGCGGCGGCGGCG